GTGCAACTATTTCCTCGGTAAAGGTTAGATGCCTTTCTCCCAAAAACCACTGAGACTGGCATTCAACAAAATTGGTAAAGTCACTTTTGAGTTGGTTGCAGTCGGTGAATTTTTCATCCGTACAAGCTGCGTGACATTCAGACGGAGCAATATCAGGGATAATGGCAGATGTGGTAACGTAATCCAACCCTGATCCTCCAGAATATGGCAAATCCACTTTGCATTGTGAGGTGGTCGCTCTACACTTGAAATGCCCACTGAGAAATACCACAGCCTTATGGCAATAACCCGATTTGAAATAGAACAAATTGAATAAAACTAAAGCGAGAGAAATTATAAGGCAACCTATTAAAGTAATAACAAACAAAACTCACTTTGCATCGAAGTTGTACCATTTCCATTGTAAAAATCTGTTATCCTATGTATTAGATCCAGAAAGAATTAGAGAGGTCACAGCAACATAATCAATGTCGACTTCATTCTAAAAAAGGAGCATTTTGAAAAATTGCGCTTACTTTATCTCTATCGATATCACTGAGGTAAATTTTCTACCTCTCCTCTAGCTCAGTAACCTCTACGGCTACGTCAGAAAAGGATTGCACAAAGATGAAATTGATGTTACAAGAAAGGCAGGTTACTTCATCCCAAGATAAACGATCGTCCATCCCGTCATATCATGACATTGAACATTAAAGAAAATAGTAACTATTACTATAGCTGCGGTAGTCAAAACATTATCTGCAAACTGATGTTCGAACAAAGCAGTATGAAAAATATAAAACTTGGTCAACCATTTAGGAACCGTGGACCCAACCCTCTGCGTCTCTAACCCCCAGCGTGTTACGTCCAACAAGATAGCGTGCTGCGTCTAACGATGGCATCAAAGCTCGAGCATGCCACTGTTAGAAGCAACACGCTAAGGAATTGAGAACGCACATGGTTAGGTACTACAACAAAACTCTTGAACATGTTTATTCCTTGTTGAGTGGCTTTTGATCAAATTCGCAAGCGAAGCGTGATTTTCGCCACATACTGGGAATTGTTCTCTTCTTTCAGAGTAAAATCCTCAGATTTTAGTATTAGTTTGATACTCCATAATTTAATGTAAACGATAATATCTTTCGTGCATATCTGCCTCTTATCTTCAAAGAAAACTATGGGTGCGAAACATAATTTCATTCTCGCTTCTACAGGGCTCTAAAACCGCTTTCAAAAGCCAAACACAGTATCAAGAATGCTGACATTTGAGCTTTCGTGGATAGCAAAATTCTAACAAAGAAGCTTTGGAAGCTTTGTCCAGCGAAAAAGATCCTTAAAAAGTCGCGGTGCTTCTTAGCGATCTCAAAGTGTTAAGGTACTGCTAGAACACTACATGTGGTCACTGTGGTACTAGATACATAGACGCTACTGAAACATATACGGCCGCGGGCTTTATTCAATAATTCCCAGATAATGGGCTGATAAGAAATTCTCCCGACTTAATTCTTTCTGTTGATTATTTTTCAAGAACTTGAGTTTCCTTTTTTGCCAACGCTTAGAACAGTTTGTTGTGATTATTCCAATTCAAACACTTCTACCTTTGTTTCAAGTTGGAATTATCTCGAGAGCAAAAACGATCGCTGAATGTACACGAGTATCGCTTGGCTCAAGTGCTGCTGAGACTTTCCACCAGATTAACGAGGCCTGGGGTGACGAAATAATTGAGATAGCTGCAGCTTTTTATCGTTTCAATGAATTCAAGGCTGGAAATGGAGATATGACGCACTAGCAAGGAGTAGGCCGTCAACAAAAAATGCGATCATAGGAAAAAAATGTATGAGTGTTATTACCAAGATAATCGGAAAAGGCTGTTCTAAACGGTAGTGAAACAAGAAACTTAAATGCATGGAAGATAATGAAACATAAACGAAAAAAATCCGCAACATTTCTCGTCAACGCGATAGTTTTATATCGTGATGACGATCCATTCTTCCATCTCATCTGTTTCCATTGCTTTACTGCCTACGCTTTTTTGATAAAACTCGATTTTGTCCTCAAATAGCTATGAGCAACGTAAAGCTCACATCCTGAAAAACTCGCAACTTCAGCACTTTTACAACTTAAAGATTTGTTTTTCATTCACATTTGCCATCTATATTATTCCGCTCATGGGTAGTGTTGCTTAGTGCAAGGTTGATCCCCTCCCCAACAAACACACTCGGGAACTAATCAGTGAACGCCCAGATATGATATATTCGAGAATGCAAGGCGATCAGCCGCTCAGTATTCCATGAGGCTCATAAAGTAAAAGACGAAGTCCCAAGCAATCAATGAATGCGATTAGACGATTCGAATGCGAGACATACAGCGATCCACACAATAAAATGTGAAGACGGGCCGCATAAATCAGAAGAATTATGCATTTTTTATTTAATGTATAGCAATTAATTACCAGCACTAGCGCTGAAGTAAAGCCTTCAATCAGATCTGTAGTCATCCAGCTCAATCCATTTCCTCTAAAACTATATTTTGAGTTTTGACGCCTTTTATTACTAAAAATAAAACAGTAGCTAAATACAGGCCTCTGCATCCTTGTATATTATAATCCTATTCTTCTGTCTTCAAGGCTTCTGAATGAACATGTCGCATTCCTCAGCCTCGACGACTATGATGAACAGCAAAATAGGATTATCCTCACCTTTTGATGCGCAGTTTTCGCCAGCTAAGATTCATCGATGGCTTTTCAAAGGCTGTAGCTTCAAAATAATCGAAATTTTCTGCTTCAAATGACTATCATAATTCTATTGAAAGGCCATCTACATCCCTATTCGATGCGCGCCGAGAGTGAAATATAATTTTCTTTCCGCTAATGCAGCGCAGTAAGAAGGCGCTCCTGAAAACAAAGTACACAAACGAATTCGTCGTTTTTCAGCTTGCCAATTAACTAACAAAAGTCTCACGGAAAAGCTAGGCGCAACAAAAATTCAAGCGACACGCGTGTATTCAGGTGAATGCGCGTCGTCCCCAAAAGGTTGACCACGTCTCCTAAGCTGCATTTAGACAACATATCTGCATTACCACATTATCATTTGTGAACGGTATGCGCATCTAAGCCGGAAACTATCGAGTGCTTTGGCTTCCAAGCTCAGCAAGTTTGAACTCGACCCAGATCAAAACGAAACATTTGAAAAAAAAGCGCTTATTATAGGACATAACGGTACATGCACGTTAGACAGCGACAAATTTTTGAGGCAATCTCGTTCGCTAGACAAGAACTTATCATAGAAGCGTTAGTAATCATTCGTAAACATAAATGTTTGATTACAATAACACGTCGCAGATTTTTCGCAGTACTTTTCTCGCCATCCGCCTTCATTTTTACCAAGCTTATGAATCGGTGGAAGCACGATCAGCATATCAGCGTGTAGAGAATTTTTCGTAGCATCAGAATATACGATCTTATCAAAAGCTTCTACCGATGTGGAGCAAAAATCCCCAACTGAACAACAATATTTCAAAATCTCGTAACTATTATTTCAGCCAACATGTCATGTGGTCTGTTTATGTGATCGTCGCCTATTTATTTATGTGGGCCTCTTGGTTTGGGAACTGAGCGCCTCGAGAGGATTAGCAAAAAACGAAGGGTACTACGCGACTGGTGAGACGTCAGCCCTATAACATACCACATGACATGTCGGCTCAGATTTTAGTTACGAGCTATGTTAAAATTTGAGCATGGTCTTAAGAAAACACCCGGAACGAAAAGTATGATATATTAACGATAACAGCCAAGAGCATTCGAGTGTACAACACTGCCCATTCAGTGCTATTTCCACTTAAAGGACGGTGTAAAATGTTCGTCGTTGCCTACTCTTAGTGTAAGGGACGGAGGAACCCGAGAGCATTGGCAAAAAACGAAGGGTACCGCCCGACCGATGAGACTGTCAAGATCGAAACACTTGTATCGGGTCCTATAAGTCAGCCCTACAACAGACCACATTACATGTTGGCTCGAATAATAGCCATGAGAATGTACATTTTAACATTAGCTTTCGAATGATTACTAACACTCCCATGAAAAGTTTCTCTCCGGAGAATGAGATCGTTTCTTTTTTTGTTCTCTCACAGTCAGAAAGAATCAACACTATAGTGAAACGTCGTGTTAGGGGATCGAACAAGCAGTCTTCTTCCCGGTGGACGATGGCACGAGGTACTCGCCACTGCGGGCTGTTCGCCACCGAGCCGCTCCGCGCGCGGCAGAGCGAGGCTAGCGCCGCTGGTCTGCGGTCCCTGGTGTGTTAAAGCGTATGTTAATGATTGCAAGAGCATGTTGGAGGAAGGGTATAGAAACCAGGAACTTTCCTTTCTGATTGCTTGGGTAACTAACCATTTGATTACCGCCTCCTACAAATGATACCCAGACAGCATAAGTCACGTGATTAGCGAAGGGCTATAATAAGTCAAAAAAAGTCGGAAGGAAAACACTCACCCTTCGAGTAGCCATTTCAAGGTCGGATATTTCACTGTTACGTGGAACAGTTAGAAGTATATATGGAATAATTAGCTCACGTAAAATATGGAGCGTCTCCATGGGAGCGTCGACGACGACGAACGCGACAATTTAAATCTGAAAATCAAATGATTGCACGAGATTTACACTTCTCTTTCGTTAGATCATGGACCACTGAAAACAGAAACATGAAGAATGAGAGGATGACAGTTGGCGCAGCCACTGATGGCGATCAATCAGACATAAAACGACAATACGAAGAGCGATAAGAATGACGTAGATGATCAATGCTGTCGAGGGATACGAAAAAGCACTGAACCTCGGACAGAGATTGAACTCGCTGTCACCTTTTCCGGAGGCGCGCGGTAACCACTACACTACCACGGCCACAGCTGCTGTTCTACTATCACTCTTTCTGTCTGGAGGCGATTAACAGACATGGAAGAACATCGGAACGAGCGATAAGGATCATATAAATACTCAACAGTGTAAAGTGATACGCAAAAGTTGAAACCTCGGGCGGGAGTTGAACCTGGGTCTTACCCCTTCCGGGGGCACATGCTAACCACTGCACTGCCAGAGCTGTTGTTCTGCTACCGCACTTTATGCCTTAGAATATGTCAATTCTAATCTTCTTAAGTGGTGTGAATATATTCGAATGATTTGAATTGTAAAAAAACTGCCAAATGATATTAGGTAGATCCATAAGTTTTGGCACGAAAACAATAAAAACCACATTTATTTATTGGAAGTCGCTAAAACTGTACGATTTTGGTGCCGCTCTATTGCACATTGTCTTGCGAATATTTCAGTGCCTAACTTGCCTCGATTTGCTCCAAGAATGAGTTGTCTTGGGAACAAATTCTCTGGCCACTCAAGCGCGTATGGCGCGTAGGGAGAAATGCTGGTGAAGCGGCGCGCAAAATTGACGGAGCTTAGAGTAATGATACGGGTGGGAAAACGGATGACTAGGAATAGTCCGCAAAGATAAAGCTGGAGAGGTCCGCTGGAAAACCAGCCGCGCTCAGGCCGTCTATGGAGAGTTGGTTATTCTAAGCTCTATCAATCTTGTGGCCCGCTTTACTGGCATGTTCCCCACGCGCCATTCGTGCATAAGTAGCAAGCGAATTCGATTCCAAGAGAGCTCTATCTTAATGCAACTATAGGCCAGCGGTATAGCAAAATGTTAGCCAGAAGATGCGCAATTGAACGATACCAAAACCATGCAGTTTTAATCCTTCCAGTTGGTAAATTTGGCGTTTATTGCTCCAGGCTAAGAGCAAATATATTCGTTGAAGAGACCCCAAGGAACAGCACCGAAGTCTTTATGCTGCTTATAAAAAAAATGATAAAGCTCTCGGCGTTGATCAATCCCTGAGGGATGCGCCATGCACTCGACTTCAATTTTCAACTTCGTTTGAGGTGATTGAATGCATATCTGGCCTTTACAATGACTCGCGGTGGCCTCCCGCTGAACCGAGTCAGTGCTGCTTATCCTCCCAGACAAGTCTGAGACCTGTCTGGTACCAATTTACCGACCCCGGAGGAATGGATGGCTCGGTGAGCCATGAGCGCGAGATCGAACCAGTGACCTCGTGCGCTACGCAGGGCACCTCCAACCACTGCGCCACATGCGTTCTTTGCTGCTTATAATAGCGCATAAATAGCTAAGGCTACGAAACCTTTTAGTTCAAGAGTTGATAGGACGATTGAAAGGAAAAAATTCACGACGGCATGGGATTTGATGATCATTTACCCTGACTTACTCTGCTTCAACTGATTCGCATCATTTTTTCACTGTAAGCATTTCAGTACATTAGCATTCAATTCGTCTTCGTCTTCTTCATGGATGTTGCAGGATAATGGCTGAGCACGTCTCCTCACCATCTCGAGGCTGTGGAATTCGTTAGTGATCACCGGAGAGTGCTAAGTGGGATCAAACCCGTGCCTAGCTGCGACGAGGACCACAACCTGTCGGCCACAGCCTCGAAAAAAAATAAAAGTTCTGAAATCTTACATGTACAATTTGATAGCCCTCGAGATTTTAATGAGGTCTCTCTGAGAATGACGTGACCCTAACGACTCAATTTATCTGAAAATGTTGATTGCCATGCTAAACATTCGACCCAAGCGGGAGTCGAACCCAAGCGTTTCACCCGTAGCGCCGGACACGGGTTCTACCACTGCACCACAGGTTCAACGGCCATTTTACTCCCGTACTTCTCCGATATATCCTATCGTAGCTGTCAGCGACCAACCATTAGTGGTTTTGATTTCTGATGGGGTTGCTAATAGGTGTGATAGAATATAACAAAGAAAGAGTGGGTAGAAAAGTGGTGGTGAGATCGGCCGGCTATATGGGTGAAACTCGCGGGTTCGACTCCCGACTGCGGCCAAATTTTTGCGTGCCATTCAATATTCTCAGATGTATATTTCGAAGTTATGAAACGGCTAAAAAGCAGTAAAAATGAAGAGATCTAAAGGACTGTCAAAGATAAGTCCTATGTAAGCATTCGATGGCCAGCAGGGTTATTTGTCGACTCGACGCTCAATTGGGACGTAAATCTTCCACAAAAATACACCTCGACGGTAGTAAATCGCCAAGTATTCTGCCGATTTTCAATAACCAAGCAATGTTATTCATCATTCCAGGCGAAAAATCGACAAGGGCACAGTTGTCAATACCCCAGAGGCAACAGGGGGGGGATTATGCTGGTCACAAAGAGGCCCACCTCCAGAGAGAAATGCAAGAAAAAGGAAAAAAGAAGAAAAGAAGGGAAAAGAAAAACTCAAAAGGGAAAAACTCTCCCTTCAGAAATTTTTTAATATTGCGCGTCATTATGATAGCGCGTCTGCAGTGCACACACATAACACTAAAATACGAGCGATTAATGGCGGTGGGAGGGTCTGTCAGACTGGTTAGTGACGCAGACTATGAGGAACCATGATTCTGGTTCGAACCCCAAACTTTTCTTCCGAAAACTTTTTATATTTTGCAAGTTGGCTATCCTATTCCTGCAAATTTCTCTCACGAAATTATTTATTTCCTCGCATATATTTTGACATCGGAGTTATAAACACCAAAATTACTACCCGGGAATAGTTACAGTTGTATGAGCCTAGTGTCATTCAGTCGCGCATTTTCTAGTGAACAATTAGATGCTGTTGATGATGACAAGATTTTTCTTTAGCTTGGGGCGGTGACATTATTTGGAACTTTGTTATTTGTTATTCTGTAGTTCTTTTGAGTTGTCGGTGCCGGCGAATGAATGTGCAGCTGGCGGACGTCGTTTGTTTTCACGCTTCCATCGCCAGATGAGCTTGTCGCTTTTTATGCTCCGAACCTTTTTTCGTGTGGTATGAGCAAGGCATTCCTCGTTTGCTTGAAGCTGACTCTTTGTGTGCGCATAGATTTTCATGTAACTGAAGGCTGACTATAGCGCCTCATTTGGTAAAATCTTTGTCTGTGGCTCATATCAAAGCTTTCCTCAAAACGAAAAGGTCAGTTACCATCGCTTAGCAGTCAGTGGTCGATCTTTAGGGTTACTGTAATCCCATTATCAGGTCTGTGTCAATTGCAATTATCTCAAGAGAGTTCAGAGTCAATTCCACACAGATATGGTTCCAGAAAAGACGTCTAGGATTTGATCTGAAAAGTTCAATGCTGGAGGAACAGTCTCGTGCATGAGCAGCAAGCGAATTTGTTCTCGCGACAGCATCATGTTAAAGAAAGTGAAGACAAGTTGTATGCCAAAATCTTTACAAGAAAATGCGCAACTGAACGATATCGAGATGATGCATTTTACTTCGAAAATCATATCAAAAATCAAAACGGCACTAATTTTGCAACTTTGCTGCATGAAACGCTCGACTTCTTGTTGCAAAATCGAGCGAAAACGTGAAAAAATTAGCGAAGCGTGAAATAAATCAAAAATAGCTTTATTGCTCCTTCCTGTTCTTCTTACTACATAAGATATTGATCAGAGGTTATTCAAGTGAATAATATATATTTTGGAAAAATTACATGCCATCACAACGATTTCGTTGCTGATTCCACAGAGTAGCTAGCACATAAAAAATGACTGGAATTTGCCTACAATAGTTAAGTGCGTGAGGAAATCCTTATGGTCAACGCGGTTGATTTTTAGCGACTGAAGAAACTGGTGATAACGGTAGCATAATCTAGCACTGTATCTGACATTTTACGATTTATAGAAAATACGTTCATCTCAACACAGACAGAAGAGGCTTTGGAATCATTGAAACAGAAAAGTGTGGAATCAGTAATCGAGAATCCCAAAACTACAGAATAGCTACACAGTTGATTCAGCTCTTAGAACTCAACTTTCACGAGATTATCTAAGGGAATTACCACAAAATGACAAGGACTTCAATAGATCTGCTCGCAGTTCCACGACTTTCATGCGAAAGTCTCATGATTGACCTACAGTAGATGAAATCTCTAAGAATAGAGAAAATCACACCGCTTCACAACAAATACTGTACTTATCACATCGTCGACTTTTGAAATGCCGTTGTAGAAACGGCATGGTGATATCAATGAATTGATAAAGGATGAAGCTTCTGGCATTGATCAATCCCTGAGCGATGTGCACTGCATTCGTCTCCAATTTCGAACTTCGTGTGAGGTGACTGAATGCATACCTGGCTCTTATTAAGACTCTTGGAACGATGTCTTAAGCCAGTGCTGCCTATCTTCCCAGACAAGTATGGCACCAATTTACCGTTCTCGGAGTGATCGAAGGCTTAATGAGCCATGAACGCAAACGAGTCATCACTCCACCTCTTCCAGAAGTTATATATTATTCTGGATGTTACTCTCCACTCGTCCTGAAGGAAATCCAGTGGCGCTTGGAAATAACGTCGCATTTCGGCATCCTGTTCCGTAGGGTAGAGACCACAGGACTTCATGTAGGGGCGTAAAAATTTATGAAGTGCAGGGAGGAATAGCCCCACTCATCTGAAAAATATGTAAGAGGTCGTGTGTTAACGATGGTTTCGCCCCCTTACTGATCGTCTTGACATCTTCAAAATCTAAAAAACGATTTCCTATAGCATACGTATAAGGTTTTTTGAAGATGTCCACCATTTTTTGTATAACCCTCGCTGCCAAGGACTAAGGCTAGGTATGAATTTGATTTGAATGTGTTAATTAGCGCAATAATTTATATAATCTCGATCGATTTCGGGATCTGATAAGGCAGAATAACATCTGATTATCGCCTTAAAGGACTATGCATTGTCGCATAGAATTCAAGTAAACCATATGTAGCGATGAAGCGGCTTAGAACATGTAAAAACGATTGCAGTGTCATATCTAAAACTACATCAACGTAGACGGCTCGACAGCCAATATTTCTTGATGACATCGGTGTCCGTTCGATATCTCAGTGGTCCGAAAAAATCCATTACTACGTTTTCGTAGGAATCTTGCGCAGGGGCAACTCGACATAAAGGACGCGGCGCAAAGGGTGGCAAAATAAAGGGTTTGGCTAGATAACGTTTGCAATGATAACACCGACGTATGGTCGATTTTACCTCCTCTCGTCCCTGAGAAGTCCA